AATGATTTTTATCCATTTATGAAGTGAGTGGTTGTTTCTTTAATTATTCTTGTTCTTTAATGTTTCCAAAGGGATTAGCTAACCCTAGGACTTGCCCATTAACTCCGAATTAATTTTGGAAAAGATAATTTGGAGTTGGAAAAGATTAATTAACAAGAACTTGAGGTTTTAACCCTCATTTTATAGATTCTACCTAGGGATAGGATTGAACTACTTGTAGCCATTCCGGGTGTGCTTAATCTCTTAATTGTTTTAGGGATAATTCAACTAGGAAGTCTTGTTAATCTTCAGAAGAAGCTAATTAAGAATTATTATCCGTGGCTAATTAACATAAACTCGCTCATATTTGTAAAATCGTGAAATACATTGGATCATTACTTGAGTGTAATTCCCGATGCATTCATCCTTGTAGTCATTGATCATTTTACTTGCTTTGCGGGAACCATTTATCTAAGAATGCTTGGACAAGTTCAGGCCAAGAATGAATGGAGTTTGGTGGCATATTTTGAAGCCATTTCCTTGCATCCCCAGCTAGTAAGTACTTGAACACCCTCAACCTTAGGGAATCATCAAAGACGTTGTCCTGCTTATGCATCGCACACACACCCAAGAGGTTTCTAAGATGTTGTGTCGGATCATCATCAGTGGAATTCCTGAAAAACCCATCCGCTTTGAGAATAAGGATTAAACCATGTTCTACCTTGAAAGTTGCAGCACCAACAACTGGAGGTACAATAGCATTTGTATCCTCAATGTACTCATCTATGTCCGCAAAAGGATTTTCTTCCATTTGTTCCTCCATTTATTCTTCATATTCGGCCATGTTTTCCTATCAACACCAACCAAAACAAGCAAAGTGTGATAGAAAAGAATAAGACGCAAAGTAAAACACACACTAATTAGTAATTTCAAAACCGTATTCCCCGGCAATGGCGCCAAAATTTGATACGCTCAAATTACACTTTAATTAAATAGTGTAAGGCGGTCGGTGTCAAATATAATAACCCAACAAGGTTGGGGTCGAATCCCACAGGGAATAGGCGTGAAAAGATTACTCGTGTAGTGTGTTACTTGACTTAAGTCGTAATTCTATTCGGTTAATTGTAACAAGAGTATGATATAATTGTGATTTGAAGAAATAACTAATTGTAATGTTAAGAATGTAAATAATTTGATTAAGGAAACCAAGGTGGTGTCCCCTTCAATGAAATGTAATGCTATCGGTGTTAATATGATATATTTCTAATGGAAGATTCTTTAGATATGCAAATGATTTCTAAATGACTATCCAAAATTTTCCAATAGTTGGGTAGTATTTCTTCTTTATGATTTTTTCAAATATAAAAGAGTTGCAACTAAGAACAATCAATATATGTCAAATAAAACCCACTTATTCATAAGCGATTCTATTAAACAAGGTTTAAAGCCTTGAGTCTTTAATATTCCTCTCTTTTGGAAGCTTTTGAGTGAAGAATCTTGCACTTTGTAAGCTTTATGGCATTTAATATTCTCATCTTTTTGTATTTTAGCATGTGTAGCTAACTTTAAATACTAAGGTTGTGGACCCTAAATGGGTGTTATGTTAATGGGTGTTTAACATTGAATATATGTATAATGGTTGGTTGATATATATTTATTTCTCATTCTTCATTTATTGTTGGTGGTTGCAAACATTAACAAGTGCCATTAAATTCTTTCTTTACTTGGAAAAGTGAGTTAGAATTTGGTAGAAGTAAATATCAAAGACTCAAGGCTTTAAACCTTGTTTAATAGAATCGCTTAGGAATAAGTGGGTTTTATTTGGCATATATTGATTGTTCTTAGTTACAACTCTTTTATATTTGGAAAAATCATAAAGAGGAAATACAACCCAACTATTGGAAAATATTGGGTAGTCATTTAGAAATCATTTGCATATCTAAAGAACCTCCATTAGAAATATATCATATTAACACCGATAGCATTACATTCCATTGAAGGGGACACAACCTTGGTTTCCTTAATTAAATTATTTACATTCTCAACGTTACAATTAGTTATTTCTTCAAATCACAATTATATCATACTCTTGTTACAATTAACCGAATAGAATTACGATTTAAGTCAAGTAACACACTACACGAGTAACTTTTTTACGTCTATTCCCTGTGGGATTCGACCTCAACCTTGTTGAATTATTATATTTGACACCGACACCGCCTTACACTATTTAATTAAAGTGTAATTTGCGCGTATCGCGCGATCAAATCCCCAAAATAACACCTAGAACTACGAATTGAATACCAAATCAAATGAAATTTTCAAGAAAACTTTGAAACTTCTATTTTCACAACCGGACGTCCGAATCAGGTCAAACCAACTCCTTTTCTCACCAAATTTCACAGACAAGTCATAAATATGATATTGGACCTATACCTGGTTCCGAAACCAAAATACGAAGCCGTTATCCAAAAAGTCAAACTTTGGTCAAACATTTCAATTTCATTAAGCCTTTAACTTTTAAATTTCGACAAAGTCCGATATCTCGAGCTAGGGACTTCCGATTTCGATAACGGGCATATGCCCAAGTTCCAAATCACGATACGGGCCTACCGAGACCATCAAAATACGAATCTGAGTTTGTTTACCAAAAATATTGACCGAAGTCAACTCAAATAAAGTTTTTAGGCAAAAATTTTTATGTTTAACAGTTTCTAACATAAAAGCTTTACAAAAAAACGCCCGAATTGTGCACGCAAATCAAGAAAGGGTAACATATGATTTTTAAGGCTTCGGATTACAAAATTAGGTTTCAAAACATGAGATAACCTATCGGGCCATCACAATTTTAGGAATTTTTTTATTAAGTAGCTTTTAGTTAAACAATGACTTTTAATATATGTTTATTAGAAAAGGAAAAGAAAGTCAAAGACGATTGAGATTTGGGAACTAAGAGTTGGGTACGACACATCCACTTTGGAAGGAATTGGGTATATGTTACTTGTCTCTTTGAACGTAGGTTGCACATTTATCTCGTATCATTATTATAAAGTTTGAACTGCAAATGCTAAATTTTCTTTATATGCATACTTTAAGAATTTTTTTGAGTTATAAGCGTATTTGGACACACATTACTTGCAATTCAATGTTTATTTTATAATCTTATCGATTATTTAAAATTAAATTTTAAATTAAAAATTTGAACCTAAAAGTTTTGTTTGGGTATCTCAAAGGAAGTAATGTTTTTTCTCACAGAAAATTCTTTCTAACTTTTTCTCTAAGTGAAATTCATGTCAAACATAATTTCAACTTTTTAACTTAAAATACTAATTTTTCAAACTTCAACCAAATATGATCCAAACATAACCATTTAAAGTGAATATGTAATCAATATCTGTGAACAATCGTAAAAATGAGTTTCTTTTTTTGTTGGTTAGCATTATATTTTTTTTTCAAATATCAAAAAATACTTTCAAAACTTTAATTTATGTATTGTCAAACTACTAGGAGTATTATTGTTTATGAAAGAAAAGGCTAAATGCCAAAAAACAAGGAACTGACTCAATCATGACACAATTTGAATAGGTCCAAACTTTCCTTCACTTCGCATTTGTTTTTTGCTTTTCTCAATCTTCCTCTCTTTTCTTCGCTTAATTTAGGCAACTATGAGCAAAATATAATTCCCTATCAATCCTCCAACCTCGAAAAAAAAAATAAGAAAGAACTTTAGTTATAATATGAAGTTTTCAATGTTATACAGTAAAATAAAATATAAAAAATAAAAAAAAAACTTACAAAATTATGCATAAAATTGTCAAGAAATGACCTACAATTCAAAGAAAGACTAACTTTTTTTTCGGAACAACTAAAAATAAATCAATTCAAAATCAAAACTACCGCACTCTCCCCTCGGGAACAAATACTTTTCTAACACTTAAATAGATCTCTAAAGTTATTTATCAAGTCGATAAAGGTATCTTAGCTCAAGAAAATAAATATAGATCGAACGATTCTTCCTTGGGTTGAAAATGACTCTTTCTAACAAAAATAGTAGTGACTCAATGGCATAATGTTACCAATATATTGCTATTAAACGATATCTACATTTCCACCACCACTTGCATAAACATTATAGAAAACTTAGAAAATAATCTAAAATTGTAAAATTGTACAAGAGAATTTTAGTGAAAATATGGAAAGAATGTAGGTGACTCGTTTAAAGAAAACTATCTTGAAGCTATAATTTTTCACTCTATGCAAATGATTTAATGAAAATTCGATACCCAGGATACAATGCCTATTAAAGAAATTAAAGTTGCACTCTTTAAATTTTTCTATCACAAAAGCTCAACTGGAAAAAAGTAAATTTTAGAATCGGAAAATAAAATTTCAATAGGAAGAATGAAACATTCTTCAACATAAGTAGAAGGAAAATTTCACAAAATATGTTTAAGAAGAAATACTATTGCCTATTGTTGAAATTAGTACACATGAAGTACAATCAAATCAGTAAGAAGTACTATTGTCTATTGTTGCATACATTGAATAAGTTTGCCTAAGGGGTAATGAAATAATTCAGCTTCGTTCCTCACAGTATATTTTATTTACTTCAAATGGAAGACTTTAAATACAAAATGGAAGGATAGCTGCAGAGTGCAGGTCATTTATTTAAGCATGTTTTGGTTCTGTCAAATGAATGACACTTATTAATAGGCCTTTCACTTGATCATACCCAAGTATAAATACTCAAAAGAGCAACTCAAGAGTATTGGGCACAATTAACAACGTAGGCACTAAATGCATCACAATTTCCTATAAGATTGCTCTTGAAATAACTAAAAGACATTTGGAGAAATGAAAAGTTATCAATTAGTACCAATATATGCATTTTTTCCAAAGAATTGCAGTAATTCCAACAGACATCTAAAAGAACATACTCTTTTGTTTACACTATAAATTACCAGAGTTCCTAAAAGTCCAGGCATCCATTTCCAAGCCTGTAACTATTTTTTGTATGTGTAATGGATACAGAAACCAACAAACAGAAGTGTCAATCTGATGAACCTCCCACAAGATATGGATTCGATTCCCTACCTCACGAAATTGTCCTTGACATAGCTTCTAGGCTTCCCATAACATCTCTAGTCCAATTCAAGTTTGTTCGCAAATCTTTTTACAACTTGTCTCATGATCCAGAGCTTGTGAATTTGCACCTGTCTCGTGCACTAAAGAACGATCCTTGCATTATTTTTCAACTGGACGATAATCAGCTTTACTTTCTTGAACTTTCTGATCTTGGTATGGAAAAAGTTGTGAGGAAAATCAGCACCCTTTTTTCAAACTTTGAGCCTAATTTATATGAAGTGATTGGTTCATGTCATGGACTATTATGCACATGTGAATGTCTGATTAGTGATGCACTTTATGTGTACAATCCTTTTACAGGAGACTACAAGCAGCTACCTTGCTATATCACTCTATATGAGAAGAAAGAATCGGTTCTTGGGTTTCGTTTTCATCCTATTACCAAAGAGTACAAGGTGATCAAGATCATATATTATCATGACAGCCGTTTATTTAATGTTTCAAAAGGTGAAGTATTTACTCTTGGTGGCAACAGTTGGAGAACAATTGAGAAAGTTGATTACCTAGTTGATTCAGATTATCAAGGAATTATGTTAAACAGGAAGATGTATTGGTTGACTCGATTTGGAGAGTATTATGGTAGTGGTGATAGGCTTATTGTTTCCTTTGATTTAGCTGATGAGGTATTTGCTGAAGTTCCAAAGGTTGATTTTAATGCTGACCCGAGAACGGATACCTTCCATCTAGAAGTTCTTGGAGGTTCTCTTGACAAGCCAAGAATTCACGAGTATCATCTAGCAGTTCTTGGAGATTGTTTTGCTGTTGCTATAGCTTTGCCTCCCCAAAAAGGAGGAAGAATATAAATTTAGATAATGAAAGAATACAATGTGAAAGAGTCTTGGATGAAGGAGTTCATAATTGGGGCTTATACACCAACTCCAAATTCTGTAACTCAGCATTTGGTGAAAGTATTATGCCTGTTGAAGAATGGAGAGCTCTTGCTTCAGTACGAAGATGGCAATTTGGTTTCATATGATCCTCAACATGGTGTCTTCAAGACTCTAAAGTTTCAGGGAATGTCTTGTTATTCGCCGCTGACATATGTTCATGTCAGCTGCCTTAATTGGATTGATATCCAACCTGCTCGTCTCTTACAAAATTAGATCATCAATATGTTTATCAGACTCCTTTCTTATTGAAAAGCTTGGTCATATATGTTCAGCACTTTGTTGCTTTGTTTCCTGAAATGTTTCAGTGTAATTACAAAAGATGATTTTCAATGAATGTTTTAAGATTATGTGATCTTCTGAAGATATCAGTCAATGCTTGATGTTAAACTTGAATATGTAATACACTTTATGGTAAATCATTGCTTGTAAAAGTAGTAGTTTTTAGCTGAAGTTGGTGCGCTGCTGGTCCTTTATGCTTAATTACAGTTGCAGAACAACAAGAAGGTTGTTAGAAATTAGTCATATCGAAGACAAGCTGGCTTAATATACCAAATCCTTATTTCTCTCAAACTAGCTACCTTTAACATAAGAATTCTAACATTACTGTTTCGGACTTTGTTCTCTAGTCGCCCATTCGGCCCCCTGCTACATCATGGCTGAAATTTCAATAAACCAATGTCAAAAGATAGCCATTCTCTCCCTATATATGCACATTTTGAAGCCCTCAAAACAAACAAAATCTTCTATTATCATCTATTTTGGAGTTGGTAGTTGAAGTTGCTTTTTTCATGGGAAGGCAGAGTACTGATCCTAATATTGCATGTCCTTCTATTACATTACTACAAGAAAGATTCAGGCAATTAGAAAGAGCAAAACAGCAGAGAGAAAACAGAACAATAAAATCATTCTCAGAGCCCCATGTAATGACTTCAGCCAAGAATTTTGTCGTCACCAAGCCAGACTTACCCCATGAACTGATTTTTCTATGGCGGACAACTGATCAGCTCTTTCTTGCACTCAGTTTGAACAGCAAGCACAGAGGGTTCCGAGACAGAAACATTCAACATTCGCGGTGGAGTTTGAATTCTAAACATAAAAAAGAAAATTCTGAGGTTGATACTTCTCTTCATTTGTAGGCATACAATTTTTATGCCAGACTCTTTTTAAGTGTTTAAAGAAGGGGGAAACTAAATGTAATTATAAAGAACTACCTACATCTTGTTTATATACTCATGTTTGTATATCCCTTTTCATGTTGAGATCAGAGGAAACTTCTAATGATTATTTTTTAATAGAGATACTGAATTGAAGAATATGTAATGTTGCCTTTTGCATATATATTAGCAATTTCATACTACATCAAGAATATGAAGCAGCTAGTTCCACAGACTTTACATATTGCAGGCTACTCATTTCACTTTCCGGGTACAAAGTTAGTGGCATAAGCCCATGCATTGTTGGAAACAGGGTCAGCAACGTGGTCGAAAAGGTTCTCAATTGGTCCCTTTCCTGTGACAATAGCTTGAACAAAGAATCCAAACATTGAGAACATAGCCAATCGGCCGTTCTTGATTTCTTTCACTTTCAACTCGGCAAATGCCTCTGGATCTTCGGCGAGCCCAAGTGGGTCAAAAGATCCTACTGGATAGATCTTGTCAAGACCTTCACCAAGTGGGCCTCCACCAACTCTATATCCTTCAATTAAGCCCATGAGCACAACTTGGGCTGCCCAAATGGCAAGAATGCTCTGTGCATGAATAAGGTTTGGGTTACCAAGGTAGTCAAGACCGCCTTCTGAGAAGATTTGAGATCCAGCCTTGAACCATAACGCCTCATCGAATTTAACACCATTCTTGGAAAGGATTTCAAGGAAGACACAGCCCAAAGCACCAAGCATGGCCCAACGACAATGGATCACCTCAAGCTCACGGTTCCTGGCGAATGTCTTTGGGTCAGCTGAGAGTCCAGCAGTGTCCCACCTGTAATCACCTGGGAACTCACCAGTCAAGTAAGATGGAGTTTGCTCGGAGAATGGTTCCAAGTACTTTGGTCTGTCTTCTCCATACCTATTTTCATCAAGCCACAATATTTTGTTATATTTATGTCATCAAGCTCTAAACATCTACTTTCTCAATGGAAATGGATTCAATATGGGTGTGTTAAATATCTTTTAAATTTTTAGTGTATCAAATAATTGATGCGAAAGGAAATATTGACGCAATAGCTAGAGTTGTTATCGGGTGACCCGGAGGTCAAGAATTAAAATCATAAAAAATAGTTGCTTGCCGAAATGCAAGATTGTAACGACCCAACCGGTGATTTTGAGTTTTTGCACTTTGCTCGCTAGTTCTAGGACATGACTAGCCATGTGTGATGAATTATGACTTGTTTAAATCGTTGGTTTTGGTTTTCAGGAAAATCGGAATGAATTTGGAAGAACAGTTCCCAGTTTGAAGCTTGAAATTCGAAAGGTTTGACTAATATTTGACTTGCTTGTATATGATCTTGGATTGGAATTTTATGATTTGGTTAGCTCCGTTAGGTGATTTGGGACTTAGGAGCGTGATCGGAATGCATTTTGGAAGTCCGTGGAAGGTTTAGGCTTGAATTGGCGAAAGTGAGATTTCGACGTTTTCCGATGGATAGGTGAGATTTTGATATAGAGATCGGAATAGAATTCTGAGAGTTGTTGTAGCTTCGTTATGTCATTTGGGATGTGTGTGAAAATTTCAGGTCATTCAAACGTGGTTTGGCCGGGTTTTTGATCAAAAGTGTATTTCGAAAATTTTTAGAAAACTTAGTCTTGAATTCGATGTGAATTGGTGGATTTGGTATTGTTCGAGGTGTTTTGATGATTGGAGCAAGTTTGAACGAGGTTTTAGGATGTGTTTGTGCTTTGGGTTGAGGTCCCGGAGGCCTCGGGTGAGTTTCGGGTGGTCAATCGTACCATTTTGGAGTTTGAAAGTTGCAGAAAAATCTGCTCAGCTGTTGTAGAGAATTATCTCTTCGCATTTGTGAGTGAAGCCTCGCGTTCGCGTAGAAAGATTTGAGGAAGTCCAGAATTAAGACTTCATGTTTGCGAGAGGTGTTTCGCGTTCGCGAAAGGATGGGAAGCAGTGCATCGCGTTTGCGAGAAGGCACTCACGATCGCGTAGAGTAAATTGGGGTCCAAGGTATTTTGTTCATCGCGTTCGCGTAAGGTTGTCGCGTTCGCGAAGGTGTAGGAGGCAGAAGTATCGCGTTCGCGATTGGTGTGACGCGTTCGCATAGGGCAAAAGTTGGTCAACGTAAGTTTTTGCTTTGCGAACACGAGGCGTTGACCGCGTTCGCCAAGAAGGAAGGGTCAGACCTGGGCAGAATGTTTTAAGTCATTTCATCCGCAATTTTGGGGCTCATTTCCCCCATTGTTGATCATCTTGAGAGCTTGTTGAAGGAAATTGAAGAGGGATTCAAGGGGAATCACTTAAAGGTAAGATTTTTGAACTCAATACTCGATTATTATTGTGAAATCCACCTAGAAATTCATGGAACTAAGCCTAAAATTGAAGAGCTAGGGCTTGAGAAAATTGGACTTTTGATTTGGGATTTGGAGGACCATATGGAGTCGTATTTGAGAACTTTTGGTATGTATGAACTCGTGGGAGGGTAAGGAACCCGTTGATGTAAAAATTTCTGAGTTTCAAGAAGTGGGCCCGGGGCTCGGGTTTTGCTAATTTCGAGATTTTTGATATTTGTTTATTGTTTTTGCTTGGGCTTTGTTCCCATGGAATATTGTGACGTATTCGTTCTAATTTTGGATAGATTCGATGCGCGTGGAGGCCGATTCGAGGGGCAAAGGCATCGCGAGCTAGAGTTGTAGCCGGTTCGAGGTAAGTAATGATTGTAAATGCTGTTCTGAGGGTTTGAAACCCCGGATTACACATTGTTGTCCTATGTTGAGGTGACTTACACGCTAGATGACGAGCGTGGGGTAGAGCACCGTTGAGGATTGTGACTGAGTCTATTCCGAATGATTATTTTAGTGCGTAATTGATAGTTAATTGTTTGATGTTATTGTATTTTGGGTTGTATGCCATATTTGGGGCCTTGTGCCGACCTGCTGAGACTCTTAGGGGCACTTCCACTATTTTTCCTTACTCTATTTGTTTTGGAAGCATATCCTCAGTCGTGTTTTACCTGTTTATTGTTTAAATCTGGTTTATCATTTTATTTCTTAAAAATATGAAAACTGTTTGGGCTGAATTCCCTGTTTTACTGATGGTCCGAGTGATCGTGAGGTTGATGACTGAGATAGACCGAGAGTCTAATTGTTAGGTTAATGACTGAGAGAGGCCGAGAGCCTGGTTCTGAGGATTATATAGTTATGGATCAGGCTGCACGTCGCAACAATATATATGTATATGGATTGGGCTGCACGCCGCAGCGATACTTATATGGATCGGGCTGCATGCGCAACGATATGTTGGATCCGGTTGCATGCCGTAGCGATATAGCGCTTGGCCTGTAGGAGCCCCTCCGGAGTCTGCACACCCCCAGTGAGCGTCATCGACGAGATATACAGATCGGGCTGCACGCCGCAGCGATATATGGAACGGGTTACGCGCCACAGCGGTTACTATATGGTACCTATTGAGCGTGAGTGCTGAGTGTAAGTACTGATTGGTAAGAGTTGAGTCACGAGTGACGGAGAGGCTAGCTCGAGGGGAGTTAGATATATATACATGCACCTAAGTGATGATTTGCCTTAGAGGCTTGTTTATGAACTTATTGAGTTTTACTTCTCTTTAAGTGAGTTTCTATCGAATATGTTAATTTATTGACTGCCTTCTCTCATCTTTATACTGATCCTCTGTCGAAAAAGTTGAATAAATGTGTTAAACAACTTTCATTTAAGCTGGGGTTTATGAGATGTTCAAAACTTAATCACTGATTTGGCTTTGGTTATTTCTACTGAGATTTTCTTGTTATGAGGTATTTATGACTCCTGTTTTGCCTGAGGGGCCGATTATGGTTTTCATCTCGTTTATTAAAAAAATGGTATTGAACCCCTACTGAAACCGTTGGAAGGTATTTTAAATGATTTTTACCAAAAGTTGGATTTTAAATGAAACGATTAACTCGTATTTTGATTTGAAGGCCTGTTGTGCTTATTGAGTTTAACATAAATGTGAATTTATTGTTTCCTACTGCTCAGTCTTTATTTATTCTTATTACTTACTGGGTTGGAGTACTCACATTACTCCCTACACCTCGTGTGCAGATTCAGGTATTTCGGAACCCGTTAGCGGGTGTTGGTTGCTCAGACGCGGAGTCATCAGGGTTAGCAAGGTGGTTGTACGACGTTCGCAGCACTACTTCCTTCCTCTCATTTCATTTCTGTACTTGGTACATCTTGACTGTTTTGTAGTATTCAGACCTTGGTAGATGTTCATGGCTAGTGACACCCCGATGTCGGGCTTGTATGTTATTTCCACACTGTTCATTCAAACTTATGTTATGAGATATTGTTTAATTAAATGCTTAAAAATGACTCTTAATGACTAAGGGGTTAATATGGGTGTTGTTTCGGCTGGCCTTGTCTTCACGAGAGGCGCCATCATGACCGGGTCGGTTTGGGGTCGTGACAAGTTGGTATCAAAGCCTAGGTTACATAGGTCTCACGAGTCATGAGCAGGTTTAGTAGAGTCTCGTAGATCGGTACGGAGACGTCTGTATTTATCCTCGAGAGGCTGCAGAACCTTTAGGAAAAACTTCACATTTTTGAATTCTTATCGTGCATCCTTAATTCCGCTTGAAATGTAACTCTTTGAATTTCTTCCACACGTTCGTATGCGCACATGAGCGCTTAGTATCAGATGTGCCTTGACGGCTTGTGATTCCCTGATCGAGGGGCGAGGTGAGATCTCTGTGAGTTTGATGTTGGGCCAGTCTGGAGGACTTGAGGCCAGATCTTTGCCTATGGTTTGAGCACCTAGGTGCTGATTGCGTGAGCAAGTATTCTGAATTTATATGTTCGGTATCATCCCTATTAGTGGAAGTGACGGCTGGATAACTATGTGATGAGTATGTTGGTACTGCGAGATATATCTATATGACTTGGAAGTGACGAGGAAGGCCTACTAGAAGATAAAAGAACTATTAAGTGCTGGAATCCCATCTCGATTCGAGGTATAGCCCCGAGTTATAGGCATATGAAGTAGGGTTGTGCACGGATCGGATCGGATCAGATTTAACATATTTCGGATTCGAATTTCGGATTTCGGATTCTAGAAAATGCAATCCAAATCCGATCCGAATTATATTGGATTGGATCAGATTTTAAAGTTTGGATCGGATCGGATATCGGATCGTATTATTATGCCTCAAAGTTAAACTAATATGTATATTTTCTTTGTAAAAGAGGCAATACATTAAGAAAAATTCATGTTTATGCAATTATGAGAGTACTATGGTGCCAATATAGCTAAATCTAGCAATTGTAAAGGTAATAACTTGGAGGTTGATGTAAATTAAAGTGTAGTATTTATACATGTCCTAATAATTTTGGATTTCGGATTGGATTGGATTAAAATATACCAATCCGAAATCCGATCCGAAATTCAAAATTTTAATAAACATAATCCGAAATCCGATCCAATCCAAAATCCGAAATTCAAAATTGAATGGATCGGTTCGGATTTCGGATATCCGATCTGAATGAACAGCCCTAATATGAAGGACCTTTTCATGTTCCCCAGTTGAGGGTGAAGTAAAATTCATGTTGCGGTATGAGTTCAGACTCAGGAAGACTAAGTGACTGCGTACAGTTTACGACGGTGGAAGGTATACATAAATGTTAATTGAAGGCAAAGTAGGTGGGTTACCTCCTGCTGAGAATTCTGGGGTTGTGTGACCCTTATGTGACTGTTAGAAGATCTCATATGCAAGTGAAATGTAAGTGTTGAAATTTGAATGTTGGGTCGCTTAAGAGAAGGGGCTTAACTGTTGCGAGAATGAGTGCGAGATTTGCCGAAGATTTAAAGTACTAGATGATCTATGTTTTCACAAACTTGCAAGGATCTGAGTT